GCCGGTGTTAACGAGAGGCTGGAGGTTTGGAGACAAGCTCTTGAGTCTAAGGGTTTCAAGCTGGGCAGGACGGAGACGGAATACCCGGAGTGTAAGTTCAGCGCTGAGCCAGGGGAAATGGGCGTGGATGTGAGGCTTGAGTCGCAGGTCATCCCGAGTAGAGGCAGCTTCAAGTACCTTGATTCGGTTATCCAGGGGGGAGGGGAGATCGACGAGGATGTGACACACCATATTGGGGTAGGATGGATGAAGTGGAGGTTAGCATCTGGAGTCCTGTGTGACAAGAGAGTGCCACCAATACTCAAAGGTAATTCTATAGAGCGGTGGTTAGACCGGCCATGATGTATGGGGCTGAGTGTTGGCCCGTTAAGAACTCACATATCCAGAAGATGAAAGTAGTAGAAATGAGGATGTTGCGGTGGATGTGCGGGCACACTAGGATAGATAAGATTAGGAATGATGATATTCGGGAAAAGGTGCACGTGGCTCCCATTGATGACAAAATGCGGGAAGCGAGGCTTAGATGGTTCAGACATGTTCAGAGGAGAAGCCCAGATGCTCCGGTACGGAGGTGTGAGCGGCTGGTTGTGGAGGGCACAAGAAGAGGTAGAGGGCGGTCTAAGAAGTATTGGGGAGTGGTGATCAGGCAGGATATGGCGAGGCTCCAGATTTCCGAGTACATGACACTTGATAGGAAGATGTGGAGGTTTAGAATTAGGGTTGTAGGTTAAGAGGTAGTTGAGTCGTGCCTTACTTCGTACCATTGTGGGACTAGCCATGTAGGTGTTTTGTCTAAGATAGCTAGTGGCAATGTTGTGTTTTACTATTTTGCTTTTCAGTGCAGGTCCTATTTACTTGCTATCGCTTTTGCTTTGTATATTTCTTCTAGATTTCATGGTGTTCCTATTTTCTTATGATTGCTGCGGTGATACTAATATTGTCTCCCTTTGCTTTGTATCTTTCTTCTGAATTTCATGATGTTCTTATTTTTCCTATGATTGCTGTGATGATACTAATATTGTCTCCTTTTTGTCCTTTTGGCTTTTTGTTTTCTTGAGCCGAAGGTCTTTCGGAAACAACCTCTCTACTCCTTCGGGGTAGGGGTAAGTTCTGCGTACACACTACCCTTCCCAGACCCCATTAGTGGGATTTTACTGGGTTGTTGTTGTTGTTGTTGTTGTCTTACATCGGCAACAGTTTCGATAAGGTGAAGCGCACTACTAGCGTCATCCAGTAACTTGCACAGCACGCTGCTGTTGCTGCATGTGTCCGTTTTCTTTAGGGAATAGGTAACAAGTGACAGCCTTCCTGAATAAGGAAAATGAAAATAGTTATACTAAGTAAAGAGTATGTAAACTTGAAGTATGTAATAATATATGGCTCCTAGCAAAAATTGTGTTTGGAACTTACTTGTGATCTCTAGAAGTCCAAATTGAATAATTGGGATCTTGTGAAAATTGATAAAAAATCAAACAAAAGGCCCAAGTATATAAATTGACATCCTTTTAGGCTGTCCTTTTAGCCCAAGAATATGTAGTTTGTGATAAACGTATTTTCTAATTGGGTAACGTGACTATGTTACGCCTGAAAATTAGGGGTCACGTGACTGGCACACCACAACATAACCCTCACACAGCAGACCTATCAATCCGTTTATTAATCTGAAATTAGACCATATGGGGATCCGGCTAGCCTTATACCATCGAACTACAGTTTGTAATAATGTATCATACAACATGAAATCACATAAAGGCCGTAGGCATCAACACACCTCATATAAGTTCCGATGAGGGATATCAATCAATATATACCCAAAAAGAATGATTGTGACCCACTAGCTACTGACAATAAGCTTCTAACTTGCCAAAAGAATACACCATATATTCGGGAAACTGCCAGGCTATGCAAAAGAATTAACACTCGAAAAGAAGCCACCACGGGATATGTGTGGGGCTTACCACCAGAATTGTAGAAGAGGAGGGCTGTCAGCAGCTAGGTCCCCATCGGCGTCTGTATCTGCAAACATGAAGTAGGGAGTGAGTATAAACATACTCAAGTCTCATAGATGACCTCTAAATGTTGGGACAAGTTTTTGAGAAATCATGTTATGCAATTATAAGTTGAAGACGTAAGAGTTCATCCTCTTCATTCAAAATGTTTATATCTTTACACCTGTCCAATGTGGGATGATATACAATACTCCGCATGTTCCAATTTATGTGACATAGTTGGAATTGGTGGGGAGTTAAAGAAAGAAAAAAACACTTTTGAAACCTGTAGTTTTAAACATGCCATAACATTTGTGTTGCCATAACATGCCATAACATTTGTGTTGCTATAAAATTTTTGAAACTACCATAACATTTGTGTGGCTATAATACCTTCTCATTAAAGGTAATATGGGAAGTGTAAAGTTAATTATTTCCAAATATAGAAACGTGAGTCCAAAGTTAATTATTCTCAAATATAAAAATCTGTCATTCTTTCTGTAACAGATTAATAAGAAAACAATGTTACATAAATTGGAATGGTAGGAGTATAAACTACCTGTCAAACATCTGACACTCCATTTAAAGCCGGTTCATACATATCGTATATACTAAGCTTGTTACATATATAATTAACTCGAGGACCTGGGAGAGACCTGATAAATATGGATGCAATGCACTGAGAAAAGTGACACTAAATCTCTACGTGTTCGGACATCTCATGAAATACTGGATTTGAAGCAGTGTAATCAAAGGCGAAAAGCGCAAAAGAACTCTAAGGTCTGTTCGGGCTTTAAGCGCAAAGCGTAAATAAAGCGTGGGCTTTAATAAGAAAGGCGTAAATGGAGAAAAACTACGAATATGTATGTGCAGTCCAAGACTAATATCTATAAGCATGAATACCAAATATATGGAGAAAGAAATTGAAGAAAATTTACGATAAAGTGAAATATATCAATTGTTTAGTGTCGCCTCTTAAGGATTATGCTCGTTGGCAAAGAAACGTATGCCTTAGAGCCTTGATGAAAACACTGAAGCGCCGACTAAGCGAGGCGAAGCGCTCAACATGTTTTGAGCCTCGCTTCGGGGCTTAAGGGTGCATTTGATAACTGATTTGAAGCAATATGGAGCACAACTTGATTATCACAAACAAGTTCCATGTGATTGGTTTCTCCGAATCTCAGCTGTTATAGTTGGTGAGGTCTCAGGGCATTCACGTCCTGGCGTTTGTAAGCTGCGCCCTGGATTTTGCCCTTGGGCCTTGGCCACTTGTCCTGCCAGACAGGCCTCGCGCCTTAGTTGTGGGATGATCCCCTACTAAGCTGCCATGGCAGCAAACTTTCTTGGCCCAAACCCTAGGTCATGCCGCAGCAAGGCTAACGCGTGACCTGGTTGACAGTTAGGCAACCTTCACGTGTTAGTCTCATGGTAGAGCCAAACTGAGCTGGACTATTTTCTTGAACTCTCCCGCCAAAACTCTGCTTCATGCCGCTATGTGCTACTGCATGATTTGCTCGGCCGACCAGCTGAGCTTCACAGTTTGTCACAAGATGGGGTGAAATGTGCTGCCCCTGCGTGCTGGAACTTCCTCTCCAAAATCATGCCTGCACGTTATCCACTCCATGGTGACTTCCTTTAGTCTCAAAGAGATGGGCACGTTACACTGCGACCGACCTGTAGCCTATTTAACCTTTAAACTTCGAAATTCTGCGCCTTTCTCTATAATATCAATCCCAACTCATCCAATTCATTTATACACCCAAGTGAACATCCACATCAATGTTTAAACATTGAATCAATTATCACCACATAATTTCAACAAATTGGCACCTTTTAAAAAATATGAATCGAATTTAAAAAACTTAGAAATTTACAGGGCATTACAGACTATTTACACAGATTGTTGTCGAACAATGTTGGAAATGTACATTGAATACTGGATGGATCCAGAAGTTGCATTAATTTACAAGCCAAAGCAATAGTCTCTTGTTTGTATGGTAACTTTTGTATCTGACCTCATTAGGTGATCAGGTCCTTAATTAACGGAAAATTTCCAGGAGATTTAGCGTACAAATGCACTGCTTGTGTCTAGGTAATTTCTAATCTTTGAAGTGCAAAAGAATCTTTGATTAACCATTAGAATTTGACTACTGATGTTGGTACTAGCTATAAACTGTTGGAAGTGGAACCATAGGCATACAAATGATTTTCTTCTCCTTTCCTCCTTTTCTCTATTTGTTAGTGTGTTTGTGTGTGTGTGTTATCGGGTAGGGATGCAGAGCTTTGATATGTGAATGAGATGTGCCTATTATGTCTGCTTCTTTTGAAGCTTAGAAAGAAAATGCTGAAGCAACTGATATATTCCCGCACAAATAACTATAAATGCATCGAAAGAATTATTTTGGGCCACTAAATGTTGGGCAGCAAACGGCAATGCTCAAACTCAGATGTTTTTCATGTCTGGAACTGCCTTAATACTTTGATCTTAACAACTTGTGCTTTAAAAGCAACCTTTAACAGTGAATCTTGCTGAGCTACTTTTTGAGTTCATCCGAGATACTTCAAGCTTATTGCGATTGATACTGGTATATTGATAATATGTGCAGGTTACTCGTTCCCTTTTAGGAAACTCCCTTGATGTGGTTGCCGAGGTGCAGAAGGCACAAATACAGTTTCATAAATTGGCTGATATTTCCTTCTCCACTCCAACTGGTACTGTTGTTCGATTCTTTCTTTCATTTCTCACCCCACCTGCTGAATTCCACTTGTGATATCTGTTTGCAGTTAAGCCCGTTACCATCAGGCACTCATGGACAATTATTTTAGGGTCATTTATTGCTGTAATTTCAGTAATTTATTATTAATGTGTGAGTTTTATTGCTCCTTCTGACCTATATTATCTGAAGTTATTTGACTAGGTAGAGAATATTAACATGCTTATGACTTTTGTAGTTTTGATGGTGTCAAAAGATATTAAAATTGTTTCTGAAAAGTTAATTAGAGAGAAATTTGAATAGTCAAATTACTGCAAGATAGTTTGTATCATTGATGGAATGGTGTTAAGATTTTCCAAAATAAAGTCTCATGTAAAACAGAATCAGTTCTTATAAAAAAAGGCAGCCCGGTGCACTAAGCTCCCGTTATGCGCGGGGTCCGGGAAGGGCCGGACCACAAGGGTCTATTGTACGCAGCCTTACCCTGCATTTTTACAAGAGGCTGTTTTCATGGTTCGAACCCGTGACCTCCTGATCACATGCAAGCAACTTTACCGGTTACAATCAGTTCTTGTACAATATTTTAATATTCTTGGATTAGGGATATTAGGCCGAGGGTCTATCGAAAACAGCCTCTCTACTCCTCCGGAGTAGGGGTAAGGTCTGCGTACACACTACCCTCCCCAGACCCCACTTGTGGGATTTTACTGGGTTGTTGTTGTTGGATTAGGGATATTAAGTTCTAATTTGTATGCATTCTTATTTTATTTGGTTGCACTGTTTCTTCTCTTGCAAGTTTGGTCACAAAAGGTACTATCCTGTTTGTTACGCATCCCTTTTGTATTTTAATTTGTGCTTTTCAGATGATTGTTGTCATTTTTCATGTTCTCTAGTTGTTGAACTCCTCTTTCACACCCAGATATCATATATTAGGTTATGGTAATGTTCTAAGAAATTGAAGATAAGTGACTGGTAGCAATCGTCTTTGCTGTCCCCTGGAGATGAAGACTGTTAATTCTTACCTTTGTCAGGATTGTTTTATTGTATAACTCTTTTGTGCTTTTATCATAAAGAGGGAATTATGGAGTAATTCATATTTTAGGATGGATAGACAGGTAAATTCCATGCCTAGACACATGGTCACTCCATGCCTTTACTTTTACTGCAATTTATCAGAAATTAAAGTGTTCAGCAATAAACAGTCATTTTGTCCTTGTGGAGTAAGTTTTTAGTAGTCATTGTTATTGGCAGATTATTTGAACTATTTTGCTGGTATAAGCACGTTGCACCTTATAACTAACACTTGACTTCACATTTGCAGTTGAGGAACTTGAGTTGCAGCTTCATTTTGTGAATTTTAATACTGGCAAGAAGGTGAAATTGACACTAGATATGTCATGCTTGAATAGGTACAGTCCTTTCTTCTCTACAGCTTCGTGTCTTTTGCTTTCACCTTTCTTACAACATAGTGTATGAATTAGTTCATGTTTGTCATGTTTCCTGCAGGATAAAATATCTATACTGTGCATTATAAGTGCCCCTTTAGTTCTCAAACCAGAAAGAAAAAATGAATCCGAAGTCGAAAATAATTTGATGAGCACAGTGATAAATCCTTTAAGCTGGTTTTGGACACCAACGTATCTGGTCTCGATTGTTCTTATCTGGTTTCTGTTTCCCAGTTGAAAAAGTAGAGTTGATGTATCATCTCAACATAAGAATGCTCTACTAGTTCCAGTCTTCTTAGAGAAAAGCGTAAAAACATTAACCTTGTTGCTCTCCTTAGTCTGGTGGTTTTTAAACTGCTAGCTTATTTCAGACATAGTAAACCGTATGGTTGGAGCCATCTAGTTATTATCAAGATTAAATAAAATGGTGCATTGGAGGCACATGCTACGGTGCTCTAAGCAGAAATGCGCACATACAATTACGTCAAGAAATTGAGGTGCACCAGTAACCGCATGTGGCAGCACAAACACATTGCTTTAGAACATATTTCTTATCTTGTCATGTCCGAAATTTGATCTGAAGTTCTGAATATATATCGTTTATAACCTCAGAGTTACTTACTAGTAATTTAGTCAGAACTGCATTCTCTGATGGAAGTAATTTTCAATCATCATATGGTTGTGTTGATTGGTAGTGAATTCTGCTTTTCATCAATTCTTCATAAGATTATCAACTAGTTGATATGTGGCAACATCTTCATTGTGTGTCACAAGTTACTGACTTTTTGAGGATTTCCTGACAGGGGGGTCTATCCTTCAGAAGTTGTTCCATCCCAGTTTGCAGCTCTAGCTGTTCGCTCTGAACATTCAGATCATGCGCTACTTGGTGAAATTAGAGATGCTGTCAAAAGTCTTAGAGCTGGATACATGAGGATTATACGGTTATGTGATTGTATTTCACGGGTGGTTCAAGCCTCGGGTGGTTAACTTCAGTAGAAACGAAAAATTAAACTTGGATGAGTGGACTATTGTTGGGGTTGCCACATATGAACTTCCCCTTGCACATGTTCTCCATTGTCACAGGTCTTCTGTGGCAACAATCACATCATATGTCGAAGAATGGTCGTGCTATATGGGTTGAGATCATAGCTGAATGTATAACTTTTTCTCTTCGATCCAGAAGTATGGTCTTTGGGCGTTCTCCCAGGTCTTTTCTATTTTTTCTAAACCGTCTTCTTAATTTCTTGTTTTACTTTTGGGCGACGAAGGGTTGGGGAGTTCTAAACTTTAGAACTATAATGATCAGCGTGAGCTCTTGTTTACTTTGATCGAATATTATNTTCAAAATTAATTGAAATTTAGTCACTTTTCATGTAAAGATAAATCTGAATAAAAACACTGTTCAAAATTCGGAAAATATTCTAGCATAATATACTGGAGTTCCAGTATAATATATTGGAAGTTCATACATAGGTGCTCCAATCTCCAATATATTATGCTGGAATTTTCCGCGTGTTGGAGTTCTAGCATAATATGCTGGAAGTTCATACACAGGTGCATCAATCTCCAGTATATTATGCTGGATTGGTCTGTGTTGCAACAAAACAGTGGTTATTTTTCAATGACTTTGCGAATGTTGGCTATTTTTGAATTACCAGTCCGAAAACTGGCTAGCCATTGCTATTTTTACTCTTTCTGGCTATATCTGTTTTGCGCTCGCGTCTTGATGCAACTATATCTTGAATGTCTCGTAAATATTTCAAATGTAAATTTGGTTGGGGATGGTTAGGATTTTTCTTCTTTGCTGCTAGTAGTATTAGTGTTAGTCTTGTATTTTCCTATTCTTAGGTTTCTACCACTACCACTTGTTTCTTTTGCTTCGGTTTCTTATTATATTCTTGCTGTTACTACTTTTTTTCCCATATGAGCCAAGGGTCAATCAGAAATAACTCTATTTTTGTAAGGCAGGGGTAAAGTTGCGTGCGTACTATCATTCCTAGACCCTACTTAATTATACTAGATTTTTTGTTGCTGTAGATGGTTAGGATTAACTATTCATGATTGCATTTATTTATCACTGGCTTGTTTGGTCATAAACTCTACTAATTGTCCTTTTGCCCTTAGGATAGCACCACCAAGTTGGTACTCTACATACGTTAAGTATTTAGATTTGGTGATGTGGGGAACCACGTACCATTTCTCAAGGAACTTCATCTATAGTTGATAAATGTGCTTCATTAGTTAGGCTTTATTATATGTATCCCGTCTTTTGATATTCAAAGGATTTATCATCGTTGGAATTGTTGGGATCGACTATGCTTTTCAATCACATAGGTAGTGTTGGAATGTCATCGATAGAACGAAGAAATTATATTTTAACCGATGCAAGTCGTTCATCTTAATTATTATTCTCCGGTCCACAATAAGTGACCAGTTTACTTTAGGCACGTCAATTAAGAAAAAATACTAAATTCTATGCAAAAATACCTAGTATGATTAAACTACCCTTAATTTAATATTAATGTGAGGAGTAAGAAAACTTTTTAGGGATATGCACATAACTCATAAGGGTAAAAGAGAAAATAAATTGAATTTTTTCTTGATTACATAAATGGACACTTATTTTGGATCAAAATAAAAAAGTAAATTGATCACTTATTATGGACCAGAGGGAGTATTGTGGTACTATGGGATTACTCCCTTGTTCCAATTTGATTGTCACTTTAGTTCTTTTCATGCCCGTTAATACCAAGTATAGTTTATTAAGCTATCCCTATTAAATATTTTCTTAGAATTAAGTAGTATTAAAAAGAATTATTACTTTAATATTAAGGGTATACTTAGAAACGATTAATAAATTTAGTCTTGAATTTCTAAAGTGATAATTATTTTGGAAAATTCTTTTTACGCCAAAATGATATAGTTAAAATGGGACCGAAGGAGTAATTAACAGCGGGGGCATTCATAGGGAAAAGAGTTTTATCTACCTTGGAATATTTTTTCTTAAAACATTATCGCCCTAAACTGAAAGCACATCACTGTCAGCTATAGTGGTCGAATGTAAATAAATAATGTTATAAGAGTTCTAATTCATGTTCCTGTCGAGCAGAGGCGGAGCTACAGTAGTGGGTGCGGGTTCAGGCGAACTCAATAATTTTTTCCGAAACTCTGTATTTGTATTGAAATATTTACTAAATCTATATATATATATACACTGCCGAATCCAGTAACAAAAGGGGTCTTGGTTCAATGGTAAGGGCTGTGAGTTATTTTATTTTAAAATTTAGAATTCACGCACTTCAAATCCTAGCTCCGCATCTGTCAAGGTGATTAGAAGTTACTTTAATAAGAAAATAGAAAACACAATAAAATGAAACTTTTTTTAGTTATTATCAGTGTAAAAATTTAAAAGTTCGACCCAGCAAAATCTTGAGATTGAAGCTTATTCAAAAACCACACGCCAAAAAAGTGGGTCTTCTGGTTTCTTAATTACGAAGCGAACTCTAGGATTCTCAAAGGTCCTCAGCAAGCCTATTGAGTATTTTCTATATAGATAATAACAATTTCGTCTCACAAAACCAAAAATGTCAAGATCCCAACTCCTTTCCTTTTTATAGCTTGTTTGGCCAGCTTCTCGCCATGCCATAAGTGTTTATTTTTTTTTCTTTTAAAAAAGTACTTTTTTTCTCAATTTGAGGTATCTGGCCAAGTTTTTTTTGAAAAAAAAGTATTTTTGGCTAAAAGCAGAAATAATTTTGAAGAAGTAGAAAAAAGTAGTTCTCTCCAGAAGCAGAAATAATTTTGATTTTTCTTCCTACCAAAAATACCCTTTTGCAAAATATTATATATACCAAAATAACCTTACTTAGTTTAAACTATTAAGTAATATAAAATAATTTTTGGGATGAACGTTTATATTTATTGAATGATTTTTTGATATATTTAAATTATCTTGAAAGAATAAAGTACTTTTCAATTTTTTTTTTATATTTTACATAAATAAAATAAAAAATTTAATTATTATCTTTAATAATAAATATTTGTAATTATTTATCTATTTATATAATATTAACTATTAAGCAAATCTCTTCATGTCCTTATTTGTAAATTGACACATAAAATCACTTTTTGAAAAGTTTGGCCAAACACAAATTATTGTTCAAAAGTGTTTATCAAATTTATTAGCCAAACACAAACTGCTTTTCTCCAAAAATACTTTTTTGAAAAGCACTTTTAAAAAAAAATACATCTCAAAATAAGCTGATTTTTACAGTTTTGCCAAATAGGCTACTAGTATAACTCTTCAAAGATTAAAATTTTGTCAAAGGCACAAAGGAGCGCTGAAAAGGCCCTTTTTTTTCCACTAAAAAGGTAAAATTGTCTTAGTGTGACATATAGGTCATGAGTTCGAGCCGTGAAAGCAACCATTAATATTTATTTTTGGATAGAATATTTATATCACATCTCTTGAGATGCGGTACTTATCTGAACCTGATGTGAATGCGTCATGCTTTACGCACCAGAGTGATTCTTTTTTTCTTTTATGAAAAGGAACATCAAATAGAGCGGTCAATGTAAATGTGGATCCCATTTCCCACGCCTACCATAAAGAAAAAGAAGAAAACCAAAAAAAAAAAAAAAAAGGAAAAAAA